GATTGTCCAATTCTCAATTATACTATCTCTGACATCCTCCTAGCACCCAGGGCCTCTTGTCTGAAGCTAGCACACCGATTCAAGCCTGGCCCCATGCCCTGTCCTACTCAGACTACAGGCTGGGGACACATCAGAAGTAGGTAATGCCGTGCATCTACTTGGTGCCTGGGGAGAGGGGCAGAGGGAACCAGGATAGGGATCAGGATCTCTCCTATGTGCTGTGGTCTGAGCCCCTGCATGCAAGGAGGAGGTCATAAAGCTGACTTTGCCCCAAGTCCCTTCTCTCCCCTCACCAAGGATGGGAAAGAGGCAACTACAGATCAGTCCTAGGGTATCAATCCACTGGGAAATGTGGCTGTTACAGGGAGAGGGGGTCGAAAGAGAAGGGTGAGTCTCAGGGTGCCTGGAGATGAAGCCTGTGGCAGCTGGAGGTGGTATCTGACCCAGATTGAGCTTAACTGAGATTTAGGTTTAAAAGGAGAGTGGTGCTTTGGAGAAGGGCTACAAAGTTTTTAGGCAAGTCAGGCAGCAGGTCTGGCTTCACTGGCATGAGTTCAGCTGAGCAGTTTGTGAGACTTTTGGCTCCCCAAGGCAGAGATTTCTGCTGTCTCTGGATCATCAGCTCTCATGCAAGTGACTTGATTTCCACCATCTTGAGAAAGCAGTTCAGAAAACCATTAAGTGTCTCCAGGTTAAAGAAAACTGTAGAGACACAAACAGACCAAGTGACATGTCAGATGGCAGAGAAGTTAGCAGGACTGGCAGCCCAGCCCCGGCATCTGCCTTCTCTCCTCCGCTCCATCCAGCTCTTGCCCTCATAGGCAGCAGATATTGCTCCATTTCTCTGCAGCCACGCACCATGTTTGGCTAACACATGATGTGGATAATCAGCTAGGCCATCACAGTGTGCTTTTTTTTTTTTCATCAAGAGGAAATCTTCTGAATAACTACAAAGCTATGTCAGTGTGTGCAGCAAGGCTCATTACCTTTTAAAGGAGAGGGCACTCCATCTCTAGAAAGGGAGAGGCAGAGAGAGACAGGGAAGAAGGTGTTCCCCGCCTGCGGGGTGATACCGTACAGAGCTCTGACCTTCTCCATGCTCATATTCTCCGGCAAAACAATGATGCAGCGGTAACCTTTCACTGCAGCTACCAGTGCCAGCCCGATTCCTAGGTGTTGGGGAGGAAAGGCAATTGGTTGACAACAGCATTTTAGCAAGGCTGACCGACGTGCTTTGTTTCAGACGTTCCTCTCTCCCACCAGCGAAGGTAACCTAGAAATGTTCACCAACAAGCTACAGGTGAAGGCACCCTGCAGCAGCCTCTTGGGATGTGCTGGGAGCACCAGGGAGGCTGTGCTAACAGATGGACCAAGCAACAGGATCCCTCTTGCTAGGAGGAATCTATTAGCCCAGAGAGATGGGCAAGGCAGGCGAGCGCCTTCCTCCCCTCATCGACGTTCAGGCCTCTTCCTTTATTTTCCAAAACACAGAAGAGAGGTGATTTTCTTTCCGGAATGCCTTCCCCTCCCCCTCAAGTGCTCTCAGCTGGGAACATGCACACACGAAGCTGCACATGTCACCCCATGGCGAGCAGGCTCAAATTTCGCTCGGGGTGATGGATGGAGCCAGCTGCTCCCCAGCTAGAGGGAGAAGGTGAGGCTGGAGCAGTGTGTCTCTGTGAGAGGCTGCGAGGAGCATGGTATGGTGCTCCTGGTGGGTGAGGGGGCCAGCGCAGTCACCTTGGGAACAGCCCTAGGGCAGCACACAGGTCCCCTTGTCTCCAAGTCTGGGAGGCAGCCAGGGCAAAGAGCAGGGAGGCTACCTCTGGGGTGCCTGCAGCAACGGGCTGGTAAGGAGCAAAATTCATAGAGACAAGCCTCATTCTGAGTGACTGGTGAGGGGCAGGGACGTTGTCTCAACCCCATCCAGAGCATCTTAACAGCCTCTGCTGTGCTTTCTCTCAGGAAAGCACACTGTGCACACACACGTCCCTGGCATGGCAGGGACACTGGTGCAGGGAGTAACAAAGGGCTGGGGAAACTTGCACCAGTGGTCCTGGGCAGGCTGCAAAACAGGGGGATGCTCCTCTCTTGTGCCTCCTCATCTTGTACCCCACCATCATCTAGTTTCTGAGCAGGAGGGCAGTGACAAGAAAAGAAAAAACAGACGATTTATCTTCCAGCTCACCAGGGAAACCCTGTCTAAGAACTTTTGAATATTCAAGAGCTTCCCAGCCTGAAAACACCCAGAGACTGCCCCAGCTCCTGCAGCTCTTTATGCTGTTGGCCTTGCTGCAAGTGAGCACAGCTGTGCAGGTGTGGGACCTTCACAGGGATTTCAGCCACCTCAGCACCCCAGAATACCCATGGCCACCAGAAGAGAGCTCCTTGAATCCCTGCCCCTGGCATAGCCCCTCAGAGATTCCACCCTGCCCGGTACCCCAGCAGGGGGAGCATCCCTGCCCTTCCCACCTGTGTTTCCTGAAGTGGGTTCAACCAGTGTGTCTCCCGGCTTTATAAGCCCAGCTCTCTCTGCGTCTTCCACCATCCTCAGGCTGATGCGATCCTTCACACTGCCCCCAGCGTTGAAATACTCACATTTTGCCACTGGAAATGAAAGGTGAGGCTCTGTCAGGGGCAAGCTGTGGCCGGGAACACCAGCTCCCTGCTCCCCTAGACATCTCTGCAATCATTTGAGGACACCCATTCCTATCCTGTGGGATAGTCCTTTGCTCAGGAGAGTGCATCCACCATCTACTTACACGGTGCAGCAGCCTGTCATGGGATTACCCACAAGTGTACCTGCCTATAGTCCATCTCTCCCCCATGTTTCCTCTGCCTGCAGCACCATTAAGACAGCAGGCAGGCCTGGTAAACCCAGGACGGGTTTAAAATAAATGGGGCATACAGTGATTGCTAAGTAGAACATCCCACACGATACACCTCGAGGACACTTCTTGGAGCAAGGCACTGTCAGGGTTAACAGCAAGGTCTCACAGTCCTTCCTGGAACACAGCAGTTATTAACAGATAGCTGAAAAAGTGCCCTTCTGTAGACATAATCTGTAGTCCTGAATGGGGTGCCATAAAGAAAAACAAACAATAGAAAAGGCACTTTTAAGTGTCAGCCAGAATTATACTTTCTTAGCTGAGATATGAAAATGCAAGAAGGAGAGACTTTCCGTAGCTTAATCTGTGTTCCTAATCAGATCCTCCACACTGCTAATACTCAGGGCAGGGCTCTTTACACCAAGGGTTTGATGAACATTTACATCTGAACTGATAGTACTGAGCTCTATTTTATGGACAACAGATACACATGGGTAATTTCAAGGTGTCATTGATTTCATCCTAGCAGAGGGAGCTATTTTAGGCTGACAAATCAACACGATGGCTGAGCAGCTAGAGCAATGGGGAAAAGAAAAAAACATCTTGTGCTCCTCATTACACTTCAGAATTCAAAACCGCCAAAACTTCAGCTACTCAGAAATCCCTGGAGGCACAGAGATCACAAGGTGGTCGTGCCCAACCATAACTGCTTCCTTGATGCAGCACTGCTGCAAGCAGTCCTGTATCTGCTTGACAAGAGACTCTGTGCTGACCTGCAGCTCGGAGAGCTGCTCCTCTTGCCCGTCCTATTCTCCTTCCCCTCCTGCGCCAGGGGAGGGAGACACCACCCCACCAAACAGGGTCTCCCCGTGGACCTGCTCTTTGCACCAAAACCTCCCTCTCCCTGCTAGGCGCTTTCCCCAGCAAGGCATCCTCCAGGGGACAGGCTGCTTCGGAGGGGGACCAGACATTGCAGACCTCTCCTCCCACCTCTGCTCCACAGTCCCCTGTCTGAAGCCTCATTTTGGGAAGAGATAGGTGGTACAACACGGAGGCTGCAAGGTTGGCGGACTGAGCATACCAGGTCATATAATCACAGAACTGTTAGGGTTGGAAGGGACCTTAAAGATCATCTAGTTCCAACCCCCCGCCATGGGCAGGATCATCCCCCACTAGATCAGGCTGCTCATAGCCCCATCCAGCCTGGCCTTAAAAACTTCCAGGGATGAGGCTTCCACCCCCTCTCTGGGCAACCTGTGCCAGTGTCTCACCACCCTCATGGGGAAGAACTTCTTCCTAACGTCCAATCTGAGCGGACCCATCTCTAGTTTTAATCCATTCCCTCTAGTCCTGTCACCACCCGACATCCTAAAAAGCCCCTCACCAGCTTCCTTGTAGCCCCCTTGAGATACTGGAAGGCCACAATAAGGTGTCCTCGGAGCCTTCTTAACACTGAACAGCCCCAGCTCTCTCAGTCTGTCTTCACAGGAGAGGTGCTCCAGCCCCCTGATCATCCTCGTGGACCTTCTCTGGACACATGTCAGCACGTCCATATGTTTCTCGTAGACTTTCTTGTAGATCCTGAGAAGGGATCTGGCCTAAGAGCACAGTGTGCTCCATGTGGCCCTGTGAAGGGTGGAGGCCAGCTACCAGGCAATTCCTTGCTGCCACACAGAATCAAAAGGCCATACCATATCCTTTCACGGGGTGTAAGCACTCATCAACTCTCCTTCCTACCCAGCTGAGACTCATGAATTTTACTGCCCGAATCTTGCCATCCTGCTCAATTTGGCTGAAGTTAAGTGGGGTTAAAAGAAAAGGCAACCAAAAAGTCCATATGCACAGGGACAGCCTAATCATATCGATCTTATTTCTGTAGTGGAGCAGACTAAAAAAACCCTTACAAGATGCAGCATCATCACAACACTAACATGAACAGGGAGGACCTGATTTTGAGCACCAGGGTGTGGCAGGCCTGTTGCTGATGCATGCAGCTGCCTGCAGCCCTCACTGCTCTGCCCAGGGCTGCATTTTGGAAAGGCCCTCCAGGGAAGGTGTCCCTGCTCCTGGGGCAGTGAGACAGCAGCACCTGGTCCTGTTCCAGCTCACCCTGCAGGGACAGTGCCACAGCACAGCGGAGTCCCTGCCCTGTGCGGAAACTCTGCCTGGTGGCCAGAGGCTGGGCTCGTGTGTGTCCCCATAGCCCAAGCTGCTCCCTCTGCCCACCCAGGGTGTGGGAAGAGTCCCGCCGTGCTCTGCAGTCCACCTCAGCCACCACATTTTGGGAAGGCTCAGCCGGTCTCTCCCATGCACACTGTGTGCTACCACGAGTTCTGCAGCATCACAGAATCATAGAGTCACAGAATGGTTTGGCTTGGAAAGGACCTTAAAGATCATCTAATTCCAAACTCCCTGTCATGGGCAGGGACACCTCCCATTGGGCCAGGTTGCTCACAGCCTGTTGTCGTGATGTCACCAACATATCCCCAAATTCAGCCCAGCTGTGCTCTGAACTTGGGCTGCAGTTATCTGGAAAGAGAGATGCCTCTGCTACCATTATCCCCCTGCTCATCGCAGCTTGAAACCATTCTGTTTGGTCTGGCAAATGACTATAGTGTAACCTAATAACCAGGAGTACCCAACATGTGCCACATCTAAACCTCCCCATTTGTGCTTGCTCTCCATAGAGCCTCTTCTGAAGCCACCCTCCAACACCGCCCCTCACCCTCACCTCGTGGCATGGAAAAACCTGGTGGAAAGGGGACACTCACAGAGCTCACACTTGAGCCCATAGGCCTTCCCAATCTTGTTGACTCGGACCATCGGGGTGCAGCCAATTTTCTTCAGGATGTTGGGCAAGATCTTCGTTTCTTCTGGTCTGGAATAATGCAGGAAATAAAAACAAAAAATCAGATCAAGGCAACTGTTACACAACATGAACTGAGATAGTCTCAGTAAGGTTTCAGCAACTTTAGCAAGGCCTCTGAGAGACATTCCAACTTCAAGTGAAAAGGTCCTCCTTGACAGTTAATGGCAACGGAGCTAGTTGTGGTTTTCCATCACTCTCACAATGAGTTATTAATTCTTTTACATAAAAATTAAAGTAATTAATTTTCAGGACTGTTCTGAAAATGTATTGTTCTACAAGACCCTCGGCCAGGTCTATAATGAGATGAAGTTGAGAAGAGCTGACAAGCCTCAAGATTTTATGTAGTAGGTGAGAAAGACAGAAGGCCATGCACAATACAAGGCTCTTCTTTCCTCCAGTCTACTCAGCACCACCTCTGCATTTTGCATTTTCAGTTATCTATGGGTTGACTGTTGCTTGGCTGACCAGGGCTCCCAGACTTGCAAGGATGACTCCAAGCCATCAGAAAGGCCAAAGCAGAGAACTCTGGAGGGTTTTTTTTTTTTGCAAATAGTTAAACTGAGCTCTTGGATCAGCGCAATCCAGCCTCCCAGCTTTGCTGGTCTCTGTCAGACTCCAGTGAAAGCCAAGAACCACATCACAGCAATTGTAACTAGAATGAAAAAGACTTGTTTGCCCAACAGGCAATGGAATGTATCTTGTCACGCAGCCAGGGAAATCGTGTCCTTGACCTTTTTTAAAAGACAGAGGGAAAAGATTGATGAGGGCTGTGTTTATTGGGGCCACAAACGTATTGCCCGTGGTTGACAGTCAGCACGTCTCTCTCTGAGTGGGGTGACAAAGCCCTACTCCCTCGCCGCTCAGCTCTCCCTTGCACAGCTTTCACCTACTATCATCCTTTGAACCCTGAACCCAAGTTATCCCGGTCTGCTATCACAGCCAGGCAGATGGCTGTCTGCTGACAGAGAGTCCATATGGTGCAGGGATGACATGCTGATTTACTTAAAGACACACACACTGCCCTCCAGGTTTTGCAAGCATGATATAAACACTTCTTGCTTTGTAAGAGTACAGGGTAGTAGTTTAGTGCAGGTCTTTACTACCAAAAAGGAGCCAGCCTTCCTACATCTCAAGCCCAGAAATGACAGATTATTACATGCATGCTGTTACCTGTCCCTCCATGGAAAGTGTCACTGTGCACATCACAACTTCTATTGAGTGCTGGTATATGGGAGGCAGTAACTCAATAAATGATCTTCCCCCACAGCTGCAGCCATTTTCCATCTGCTCTAGAAGCCACTGAAACACTCAGGGATTTCAGTGGAGCTGAGCCATGGCATGAGCAGACATCAGCTCCTTCAGGCAGTGTATAATGAGAGCCTGGCCTTCAAGAGGGCAACCTGATATTATGTTATACATCTAGATTGCAGGAAGTCAGCTGAGGAGAATATATTTATCTAGTAATGGTGCTAAACATGATGCTACTGTGCCCTTTGAACCTAGCAAGGCGTGATGTGTCACGGGGAAGTGCTGTGAGGCTCTGAGGTCTGCAGTGGTGGAGCCTGGCGAGGGGACAGGGAAGGGGAAGACAACATGCGCTGCCTTTCATGTGTCAGTTCAGCTACTATCCTCTAATAAGAACAGCCCTTCTCACTCTGAGGCAAATTTTCTGCAGTTCCTACCGAATTCCTTTCCTAATCACTACCATATTTTACTGCAAAAGTAGTAGTAGCATGGTCAGCTTCCTTCCCCAGCTGCGTGAGCTCTGTGCCTGAAAGCAGCAGGACTACGGGGATAGAAGGATCTGTAGCAAATGCCCTTGATGCTCCTAAAGGATGTAGTGGAGGCACTTGAATACTGCAGCTGCTGGTATCAGTTCAGGATCACAGTGGACAAGGACTGTTTTTCTTCAGGATTCCTGTTTTTGCTCCTGCTGTTCTACTCCATAAGGTGTCCAGAGGAAAACAGTCCTGGGAAACCAAGTGATTCTTGCTGGGGTTATAGCAGGTCAGAATTGGTTCAAGGGATATCAGAGCTAGTCTACCTCTGTATCTTTAGAAAAAAATAATCTTAATTAAGATAACATCTTGTCTTCTCTCTCCATCTCCATCTTCTTCTTCTAGCCTCAATGCTCAGTCAAGTTTCACATGTGAGTCTCAGAAAGTCCAGAGATTTTTGCTACATCGACTGCCACCCGTACTTTATCCAGAGCAGAGAAAACAAACAAAACACCTTCCATGCACTTCTGTAAAGTAAATGGAACAGTGTGACACGTCCCAGCATATTTTCTTCACTGCTGTAGAGTGGACTGTGTTTCAGTCCCTGCCTCAGTGATGCTGCATGGGCCCTCTCAGCCAGACCCCATCCCCAGGGAGGTGCCTGATGCCTGGGGCTGCCCCTGATGCCCGGGACTGCCCCTCATGCCCTCCTAGATACCCATCTCCTGGCTGGGGGGTGGGATGGGCCCTGGCACCGACCCCACTGTGCTGCCCCATGGCACCCTAATGCTGATTTGAGAAAAAGCTAAGAATGTTACCCCGCTTAGCGTGATAACAGAGGAAAAAAAAAATCCACTTTGACGTAGAAGAGCTGATCCTGTCCTCGGGATTCTGCCAGCTGCAGGGATTGCACTGGGCGAGTGCCTGGATGCATGTTTGTTGGATCAGCTCTGAGGCTGTGGAGCCCACCCCTCTATGCTTTCTAGGCCAGATCCAGAGGTTGTTTTGGGCTCCACACGTGCCAGTGGCCATGCTTTCGCTGTCTCCTGCCTGGCATGCCAGCTCCCGGCTGGCAGGAGTCCACGCAGAACAGCGCCGCACCTCCTGCAGGCTCCAGTTCCTCACATGCTGGAGCTGAATTCATGTTTTACATCTTTGGCACAGCAGGGACATGTCCGCAGTTCCCCTGACATTTATAGGACAGCCTTATCTTTAGTAGCTTGTCTGGGTCTGGTTTGCCGGGCCATTAAAGCACCTCTCGTCTAGTCTAGTCTGGGCACTTTGGCAGGCTTACCTCACCCTGGGAGGAAACCTGCTGCTGTGAGGACAAGAGCCACTCATAGCAATCACTTCACCTCACACTGCATTTTTAGGTCACTTAGGCAGAGCAATCAGCTCAGTGTGGGCTATTTTCTACTTATTTAAAAGCCCAGGTCATGGTAATTTGTTTTCATGAAGGTCTCTTAGCCATCAGTGAAGACATTACTAGTACTTAGAAATCTTCTTACATGCAGACTTCAGACTGTCTGAATGAATAAGGGTAGCTGCGCTACTACCATCAACTGATATCAACTGATGACTGCAGTGACTGTTGCTGGCCATGCTGTATAACGGGATGGGTGCAACAACGTTGGGATGTACAGACACGTACACATCACACTACAACCAGGAGAGCCAGTGCTGCATCTCCTTAAGTCCCCAGCAGTTGGGAGTGCCATCACCTGACCTCAAGGAATCTGCTTTGTTGAATTGCACAAGTCAATATATTCACTTTAATTTTTCTAAAATGAGGTGCTCTGAACTAGCAGACGCTTTCAAATGTGTGCTGGAAAATACAGAGCCTCGAGCCAGTCGTGCCTTTCTGCAAGATTAAAGGCAGCAAGAAAGCTCTTCCTCGAGAGGAGATACTAGGTGGATTTTGCCTTCTAGAAAATAGACCACCGTTGCCATAACATATTGTCAAACTACATGACTTCTGGTCATTACTATCCTGATGAAAACATAATACTTCATCTTCAGAAAAAGATAGCTGAGCTGTCTGCACTCTGAAATAGCCAGCATGAAATAGTTACTTACAAGGGTATACAGGAGTGTGGAGACTTGCTAGCCGGTGTTGCAGCTGTCCATGTGCACCTACTGGGCAAGTTGGGAAGAATCCATGTGCTGTCGGCTTTGCTTTCCTGACTTCCCACACAACTGCCATTCATGAGCTGGCATGCCTTGGTCAGCTCCTGTGTTGTGAAAATAGAGACCCACAGTCACCTGGGAGGAAAAGCGGGTAGACAGGCACTGGGTAAAAATTTTTGAAGACAAGAAATGACATTTGGGTGTGAAGGCAATGTGGTCGGTTTGCATGGGACATCCCTACCAGCAATTTAAAAGGAATGGTTCTATAGGTGCATAACATTGTTCTTTTGGAGGAGTATACTAGACCACATACATGGCAAACTGTCATCCAACCAGCATCTCCAGCACATCTTTCCCTGCTTTAATATACATTGATGCACTCCCTCCGCTAGAAAATCTGGTACTCTGTATTTAATTATTTGATCAAAATCAGTATTTTCCAACATAGCAGTAAAGAAACTGCAGGCAACTCCATGCAGCAATAATTTGAGAATACTTGCACAGTGGTAGCAGGCCTCAAAGGACCAGAGGATACCTCTACTCTGGCATCCAAAGTGTATTAAAAGTGAAAGAAAATATCCAATAGAAAGAAATAATGTCAGGGAAGGTCAGCAAAGGTGCAAGTTCCACAATAAAACAGCTTAAATAAACGGGGGTCTGGAGAAGGTGACTGAAAATCTGTCTTTGTTTCTCAGCATCAAATAGTAAGGCAAAAAGAAATATCAGGAACAACTACAGGAGCCGGACAGGTAAAAGTGGAACCAGAAAAGGGTTTAACAAATTTGCAAAGGTTGAGTTCATTAGTGGCCCTTAAACACACTGGCCCTAATGGTACCTACACTCTGTGAACATGGTAATTTGCTGTGTTGGTTTCTCTGTATTGCTCCTGCATATACAGAGAAAAGGAGGAGCCTGGTTTTACAGTTTACTATCAGCATCTGCTACTGACCAATAGCAGAAACAAGGGTTATATGGACCCCCTCCAGTGTGACCCTCTCTGCAATTCATCAGCCGCCCTTTAGTGCTAAGGAAACCAGACACATGGAGAAAAAGACATTATTTTGGTAATTGCGAGTTTCTTTTCCAGCTTGTTCACAAAATGAATTTGCCATAATTCAGCCTTTGTTGAATAAAAGGATCTTGCAGCTTAGCAGAGTCACAGTTGGAGAGCTGTCTCGTACTTTGATTGATGATCAAAGTTGGTGTTGACCTGCTTGTTGTAGCACAGCCTCCTCTATCTTCCTATACTACTGTGGTGGTGCATTTTGTAATTAGAGCAAGTGTAATGCTCTTGTTAAGTTTGCTGTGGAAGAAATTCTCAAGGGCATGATGGAACTAGATGATATTTGAGGTCACTTCCAACCCAAACCATTCCATGATTCTATGATGTTGAACCTTCCTTCTACATTCAAATTCAGATTGAGAACAAAGACAGAATTTTCAAGTTTGCTAGAACAAAAACAGTGACACAAAGAAGAAATACTTCATTTCTAAATGCAGAGGACTGCCTGCTGAAGGACCAGGCCTGCTGACATATAGAGGTGATGTGGGAAATCCACTCTTAGTTACTGCCCTGGGGAGGGAATTCAGGCCTCTGACAGGAGGATATTGGAGTCAATACGACAGCACAGACAGCGGAGGTCAATGGGTCTGTGGTGCATCATCCTCAGCCCAGGCCATAAAGCCACTCCCCTGCCCCACCTGGACACCTGGGCTGTCCACACTGCCTGCGAAGCCCAGCTGACTCACAAGCAAGCGAGCAAGCAGCAGGCTGTTACGGCTGGGTCCTGACCGTCTAATTAATTTGTGGCTTGACATCTGAGCCTTAATTACCATTTCTGCCATCCTCCTTCTGCTCTCTTGCTCGCTTCACCCACTTGGCGACAGGTTCTATGAAGCAGCACAGTGGGATCACCTGAGGTTAGGGCCGTGGTTTCCCCACTGGGTGGGAGGATGGGGCTGTGGTTCACTCCTGTGCGTTGGGCTGTCCCTGAAACACAGAAACACACCACACTGTTATTCTAGCCATAGCAGAGGGCTGAAATGGCCCACGACATGTGGCCTAGCTTTCTTCTCAGCCAGAGGTCCTAGAGCATCTCAGACATGGGAGTCAACAACCTGGCGTCACCACCTGGTCCTGTGACTGAACCTCGAAGCAGGATAGCAGATAGGGGACACCAGGCCACCTCCATGTTAGTGCTGAGTCATATTTCTCCTCTGGAGACGCTGATCCCAGCTGCACAAAGCAGCAAGAGATGACAAGGGTGCAGGGTGGTCACACTAAAACAGCTTGGACCCCTCAGCTGGCCCAATGACAACTCTCCTGGCAAACTCTGCCAACCATCATTCTTCCCCCTCCCTCCCTCCACCAAGCCTGTTGTTTCTTGGAAGGGATTAAAAAGGAAAAAAAAAATGTTCATTTCCTTGCAAGTCAGGATTTATGTTGGCCTTGAATGTATCTCCCCAAGCAAATCCTTGCTTACTTAGTGAATTAACTGGGAAGGAGCAAAAGTCACTTGTGGGTAAAGAAGAGATAAGCCACAGTGTATCAGAGGTAGTTATCATGCTTTCACAACTGAGGTCACTGGTTAAGAACCAAAATGTTGGCACACTAAATTTTACAAGTATTTCTCTTCCCTTTTCTATTTTTTTTTCTGGTGATGCACGTCTCCACGATTATGTGGTGGGTTAGAAAGAGAGGAGAAACAAGAGGATAAAATTATCAGGTCTGCTTTTGCAGGTCTCTTCCCCATTCGCTGGCCATGGCTCCCTGACATCGGCTGCGGGGCCCCATGCAAGCCTCTCACTCCTCCAGCCCTGGCTGTGTGAGTGTGCTGCCTCTGCCCCACCTCTCCCCTTGGGACAGCTGCAGGAGAAACATCAAGCTGCAGGGATCGACAGGTTTGCACCCTCCAGTTTAGGGTGGTGTCCTCAGAGCAGCTTCACATTCCAGCTGAGCATGTAGGGAGCCAACACCACTTGCCAGGCTGTGGGGGCAGTTGCCTGCCAAGCCCTGGGTGAAGGTGGGTGACCTCCCTGGAGGCTCAGGAGCACCCCAACACCCCTCAGGTGCTGGCCTGGGAGTGGCAGCAACCAAGCACCTCCCTTGCTACCACCAAGGAGTGCCACAGACCCCAGAGTCAGGGGCCAAAAGCATCCAAACTGGCCCTAAAGCCAAGTGTTGGACACAGCATGTTGTGCTGAGGTGGCTGGTGCACGGAGGAAAGAACATTAGTGCCTTTCCACCTTCTAAAACAAGGTTGCCTTCTGCTTGTTGCATTCCGTTCCCTTTAACATCTGATATAAAAACAAGGCAAGCGTTGGGTTTCCACTTGTTTGCTCACCCAAAGCATATACAGACAAATTTTCTAGGGTCCCAGAGAACAAAGAAATAAGACCTGCCCCTTGACTAGGTCAACACCTACATTACTCTCTGCTGGAGAATTTCTCACGTATCCCCTCAAAGGCTGGTTAATTCTTAGCACAGTGCTACAAGACTGCACAGATGTCTGTATCCAGACATCTGGATCCATCTCTGCATCACGGTGCCCTAGGTCTGGATTCTTATTTAAGACATGTCCAAAACCACTGTGGCTCTGAAGGTAACCCAAAAAACTGCGAGAGGTGTAGGAACAGCAATAAAATCTATGCAAGATGACCAGCGACCTGTAATGGTACCAAGGGATGGGAAGAACTTGCCCTTCCCATCTTTTGGAGGCCTTGACACCACACCAGCGAGGCGCTGCTCTTCCAATGGTCTCAGCAGTTACATTCCATGACCATGCAGGCTGGGTGGGAAGTGTGGGCAGAAAAGAGAATGGGGCCAACTCTGGACAGTCTGACTGCAGCCAAGGATGACTGAGAGGAGCAGTATCCAGCGTAAACATCTCCCCGTGCTGCCTCCAGTGCAGTTTCAAGCCTCTTTACAACACTAAGCAAAAGATATGCCCTCTCTCGGTTACCAAAACTCTTACCTACACCCCAATACTCCTCCTAACCCCTGCCTGAAGCTTCAGCTATTATCTGATCATGCATCAAATATGTGTGAGCTGTTGTAGGTGTCCTGCAATGGCCTCATTACTCTCTTTTAAACAGAGAAGCTGGAGACGGCACAAGACTGGAAAAGGATAAATGGAAACATCCATCGGAGCTGGGAGGCAAGCCCAGAGACAGGGCACACTAACACATGGTTCTGCAGCTGCTGCCACTAACTGAAAATAGATGACAAAGAGCATAGGCTAATGTTTATAGAGTACTTTGCAGATAGGAGATTGCAATTATTAGATTATCACGCAGCACTGATAACTTCAAAAGGAAGAAAATCAAGACACTCATTAAGTAGACTGAGGGAAATCAAGATGAACTTAGCAAGGCAGAGAGAGTTGCCTGCAAACTTGCCGCATTCAAAGCAAAGTGCGATTTTCTTGCTTTACTTTAAAGAAATGGTACTGCAATTACTGAGCAAGACAAATGCAGTATCAGTTCACCAGAATCACAGAGTCACCCAGGTGGGAAGTGGCCTTGGGAGGTCTCCAGCCCAGCCTTCTGCTCAAAGCAGGATCAGTACTAAGTTGAGATCAACTTTCCCAAGGCTTTGTCCTCTTGGGTCTTGAAAATCTCCAAGGATGGAGACTGCACAAGCTCCCCAGACAACCCATTCCACTGCCTGACTGACCTTAGAGCGTAAAGTCAGAACCTCCTCATTTTTCAGATTTATCCAGATCTTGCTGAAAGTGCAGACTCTTCCCTGGTCAGAGCCAAACTTTGAGCAGGCTGAGAAGTAGAGGCTACCAGATTCCTCCTTTTTTCAAGCCTCTCCACGACCACAAAGTTACCCGGTTAGTAGCTCCCATGCAGTCTGCCATTAGAAAAGCAGTGTGCTCAGTAAGAGATAAGCCATACTTACCACCTTGAGCGTATCAGCTGAGTTCCTCGCTGTGCTCCAGCACTGAGCTTATATGTGCTGGGTGGCAGGGGACACCAATGAGCTGCCACTCTGTGGAGGGACGCTGATTGGGTCCTGCCCCGCCCCTAATTATGCCCAGCACCTGATTGCTCTCTGAGCATAAATGTTTGGGGT